GTTAACGCAAACATGTGTAAAATGGTACGAAAAGTGAAAGATTTGAGTCAATAGAAGTAAAAAAGTCATGGACTAAACACCCCCCAGGAATTTTTTGGGCTTGTCAAGAAATATTTGGGATTGGATTTTTATTTGGGGCTTGGTGAACCTTCCAGAATTTTTTTCCGGATCCGCACCTGCCTACAATTTTAGCCTGATTTCAAAACTTGGCACAAATTAGACTACAATAAGATACACAAATCTGTCTATCCGTTTATGATTTTAATGAACGTTGTTGCCGTGGCTACTAAAAAGATTTTTTTTTTGTGAAAATCATACAAAATGCCATCTTTCCTACAGTTTTGGTTTGATTTCAGTAGAACTCGGCACACATTTTGAATACATTAAGAAACATAGTTCTGGGTATCCGTTTTTGATTTTGATGAAACGTGAATACTAAAATAGGAATTTTTGTGAAAAACATTTAAAATACTGCTCCTCTAACAGTTTTGGTTTGATTTCAATACATTTAAAACTAGCACACAAGTAGACTACACTAAGATACATAATTCTGTGCATCGATTATTGATTTCGATGAACAGTGTTGCTACGTTGCTAAAAAAAATTATAGTGAACTTTCTAAATGCTACTCCTCCTACAATTAAAGTCTGATTATACTAAAGTATAATTTGGCATGCAAGTAGAGTACACTGTGATACGTAATTTTCAGTTTTGTATTTTCAATTTTGATGATTGATGTTGCCATGTTAACTAAAATTGGAAATTCTGTAAAATTGCATTAAAACTACTCCTGCCTTAGCAGTCTTATAGAAATCAAACCACACTAAGAGATTTAATCAAGGATCATTATATTTATTATACCCCACGCAACTAGTTGTGGGAGGTATAATGTTTTTTACTGGGTCGTCAGTCAGTCAGTCCGTCATAACTTCATAAGGGTCCTTACAAACAAAGATACATTGCAGGTTCCAGTAAATGTTCAACCAAGCCTCTTTCGTTACTTCTCTCTAAAATATTGACAGTAGTGAAGGAAAAACTTCAAGAGTACTGTACAACTATATATTCAAGAAGTGATGTAAATCAGATGTGGATACTTAAAAATTCTAAAGAACTTTTGGACAATTTGAAATTTGAAATCACAAGACTTTACAAAAATCAACAGCATAAAACTTACGACTTTTCAACTTTATACACAACAATTCCCCACGACAAATTAAAATCCAGGCTTTTTGATATCATTGACAGCTGCTTCTTCAACAAAAATGGAACTCGTAAGTTTACTTACCTCGTCATTGGTCATTTGAAAAATTATTTTGTTAAAACAGATTCTGATTGCACACATAAGTACTCTGAAGTTGGTATCAAGAAGATGCTTGAGTTTCTGATTTACAATATCTATGTGGTTTTTGGAGACCAGGTATTCCAACACTATATATTCAAGAAGTGATGTAAATCAGATGTGGATACTTAAAAATTCTAAAGAACTTTTGGACAATTTGAAATTTGAAATCACAGGACTTTACAAAAGTCAACAGCTTAAAACTTACGACTTTCCAACTTTATACACAACTCTCCACGACAAAATAAAATCCAGCCTTTTTGATATCATTGACAGCTGTTTCCTCAATAAAAATGGAACTCGTAAATTTTCTTACCTCGTCATTGGTCATTTGAAAAATAATTTTGTTAAAACAGATTCTGATTGCACACATAAGTACTCTGAAGTTGACATCAAGAAGATGCTTGAGTTTCTGATTTACAATATCTATGTGGTTTTTGGAGACCAGGTATTCCAACAATCTATTGGAATTCCCATGGGTACAAATTGCGCTCCGTTATTAGCAGACTTATTTTTATATTTATATGAAGCAGAATTTATGCAAAATCGTTTACGTGAAAAGAAGAAAACACTTGCTGTGGCCTTCAATTCGACATTTAGATATATCGACGACGTATTGTCTATTAATAATGATAATTTCCATTCCTACGTCGACACGATATATCCTGGTGAGCTTGAAATAAAAGATACCACAGAGTCCGACACTTCTGCTTCATACTTGGATATTTTACCTGAAAAAGACACTAATGGTAATCTAACAACCAAGCTATATGATAAACGTGATGACTTTAACTTTTCTATCGTCAACTTCCCTTATTTATGCAGCAATATACCTTCATCACCTGCATACGGAGTATTTATATCTCAGTTGATTCGAAATGCAAGAGCATGCTCTACGTATGAACAATTTCTTTAACGATGTAAATTATTGACAAACAAGTTGATGAACCAAGAATATTAACATTCTCGTTTAAATTCATCTTTTAGTAAGTTCTATAGTTGATACACTATATTATTGAGTAAAACTCTGACTGACGTTTTTCATACTAATTGTAAGTCCATTATTTATACACTGAATTGACCACGGATTTTTTCCGTTATTTCCTGATTATGACAACGAGCACACGGCGGGTGTGACCGGTCGGCAGGGGATGCTCACTCCTCCATGGCACCTGATCCCAACTCTGATGTTTCGGAGGTCTGTGTTTGCTCTGCTCTTATTTTGTATATTTGTTTAATGGACGTTGAGATTGAATACTGTTCGTTATTTCCATATCCTTCTACAATGAAGATACAGATTGGACTACCACATCGATCTTCAATGAGTACACCGAATGTGTAGATACGATGAATATAGCGAATTCCCGAGGATTGATGATTGTTTGATTAAAACTTAACACGGAATCGGCATTATTTCAGTCATTTATCGGCGATTAAAAGTAAATCATGTGACCAGATTTTGATCGATTGATGTTTACTGTTTTATGTCCCTCTGCAGAATATTTCAATGATATGGAGACTTCACCATTGCCGGTCAAAGGCTTCAAATTTAGGCCTATGCACGGCACTTACAGCCTTTGAGCAGGGAGGGATCTTGATCGTGCCACACCAGCTGTGACGCAGGGCCTCGGTTTATACGGTCTTATCCAAAGTACGGCCCCATTTAGTCGCCTTTTACTACGGAAGCGTATTAGTGCCACGCAATGTTTTTTTTAAAGTTGGAAATTCTTGGCTTTTCCAACTTTAAAGTTGGTAATTCCAAATTCAAAGTTGGTAATTCCAACTTTAAAGTTGGAAATTCCAACTTTAATCTAGGCTTTTCCAACCTTAAAGTTGGAAATTCCAACTTTAATCTTGGCTTTTCTAACTTAAAAGTTGGAAATTCCAACTTTAATCTTGGCTTTTCCAACTTCAAAGTTAATAATTACAACTTTAAAGTTGGTAATTCCAACTTTAATCTTGGCTTTTCCAACTTTAAAGTTGGTAATTCCAACTTTAATCTTGGCTTTTCCAATTTTAAAGTTGGAAATTCCAACTTTAATCTTGGCTTTTCTACCCGCTTTTCTTAGTTTTTTTCTTTTGTTAAAGTATCACAAACTTAATTAAAGTGAACATAACACACTGAAATAGATTAGTTAGCAATTTATCATTGCAATCTAGAGGTAGAGGTCGAAATAGGGGGGGGGGGGGGGTGGTAAGAAGAGCGCACGGTATTATGGTGAGTTTTAATATGGTACTTTTACAATGGAAAATAAATACTCGCACATTAAAATAAATTGTTGAACCCTTTTTATCTGTGTTTGTTTTATTTTTTCACTTCACTTTCCTTATATGATCTTACATAAAACTTCCTGCTTATACTATATTCCTTTAAGTTCTCTTGTTTAATTCTATTGAGAATAACTTCATATAAATTATTTACACAGTATTCTGTACATGACAGGATTTCAACTTAACCAATTACAGATATTAATCATTTATAATATATTGTATGAAAGAACGGGACAACAATTAAACACTCAATGTTATCAAATTTTATTCAATCAAATGAAACATTTTCTGCTAAATATACAATATAACTAAATATACAAATTCCTTATTGGCGAGGATCTAGGATTTTTTTTTTCAGGGAGAGGAGGGGGGGGGGGGCACGTACCCCAGTCAGAAATATGTTGACAATCAAAAAATTAATAATTTAATAAATGATAGAATCCTTTCTTAAACGTTAAAAGTCAAAGTTAGATAAGCCAAGATTAAAGTTGGAAAAGCCAAGATTAAAGTTGGAAAAGCCAACTTTTAAAGTTGGAATTACCAACTTTAAAATTGGAAAAGCCAAGATTAAAGTTGGAAAAGCCAAGATTAAAGTTGGAATTTCCAACTTTAAAGTTGGAAAAGCCAAGATTAAAGTTGGAAAAGCCAAGATTAAAGTTGGAATTTCCAACTTTAAAGTTGGAAAAGCCAAGATTAAAGTTGGAAAAGCCAAGATTAAAGTTGGAATTTCCAACTTAAAAAAAAATTAAGTGGCACTAATACGCTTCCGTATTTTACGATAAGGCTAAAGACCTTTCCTATCTCAGATCCCAACGGGGAACCATTTTTCGAATAAGCAGTTTTTGAACACCCTAGGAAGATAGCAGCAAATTTCTCTTACTTCAAAGACAGAGAATATATACATTCGAATAAGTGTAACAAAAAGGCTGAAGGGAAGTAACGTACACGATAATGCAGTTTCCGCCCAAAATCGAGGAAAAAACTTAACCCAATTTTAAGACAAGCAAGAAAGGTTATTGAACGTTTAGATTTTTGAAATTCGCAGGTAAACGCTTGTAACACCGATTAAAAAGGGTTGAGAGATTGATAAAACATACAGGTTAGTAAAATAATATGCCTACAATTAGGGAGGAAAGGTAGTTTGTTGATCCATGCTGGAAAAGGGAGAAATTCTCCCCAAAAGAGCGCAAAAAAATATTGCGCCGTAAATTGCACCTGTTTTGCATTAAGGGATCTGTAGCGTTATGGTCAACAAATATATAAAACCATAACGCTATAGATCTGCAGCTACAAAAACACATACTTCGATTGCAAACTTAGAAATCAAAATAAAGGTCATAACATTTGTTATGTATGTACTGACTCAATAATCAGCAAGATAAACCAGTCATCAAGGAATAGTACGTTTATTCGAACATGATGAGCAGGTAAAAAACTAAAATACAAAAAAAACAGCTACTTAGTACAACATGAATCACAGTCACAATTTACACATGTAAACATGGCACTTAATCATTCAATTTGCGTCTATAAAGGTATAGATATATAATAAACAATAATAAACGTAGCCCTAATATTGCAAGTTTACACTTTCAACAGAAATTAACAAGTTAATGTAAACAAATATTTGCCTAGAAACATTGTAGACTAGACTGGACCTATGACTAGGAAATTCGGATGCCAAGTATAAACTCAAAACATGACTTAGACAATAATTCTGACAATATTCATTTAACACATACTTTTGGAAACACATATAAGCATTTTATACAATAATAAATGAACAAAACAACACTTACTCCGTGCTGGATCAAATAAAAGTGCGATACACAAGAGGAACGAGCACATGTAAACAACGACTTCTAAACGTATGATGAAGTAAAATATAAACCATAACATATGACTTCCGTATTTCCGGAAAAGTTCTAACTTGGGGCAGCACACTCCCCGTCTGATATCTTACAAGATATCACTACAACTATTACAAACATGTAGCACAAAATCAATAAGGTGCGAATGTAACAGGAATTCTAATTCACAATCATAACACAGTATGTTTCGTTGCACAATAAACACGACAAAGCACATTATTCCTTGTCACTGCTGGAAGTGTCTAGATCATTTCCCTTGTCACTCAAAAGCAGAACAAGTTCGGTCACGGGTCTTGTATAAGTCTTTGACACGCCATTCTTGGTAATGCGAACTTCCACTTTTCGAACACGACCATCTTTTCCACAAATAGCGTTTTCCACCATTCCAAGCGGCCAGTTGTTTCTGTGGCTGTCGGGTTCTTTCAACAATACAATGTCACCACGACGCAAGTTGGTCTTGTCACACTGCCATTTCCTTCGAGTTTGTAAGGTCTGCAGATACTCTTGCTTCCAGCGATTCCAGAAACGTTCGGCAAGATATTGTACTCGACGCCACTGTTCCTTATACATGTCCTTCGGATTCAGGTCCACAAAGGGGTGTACATCTGCACTTGTCCTTTGAGTAAGTAAGGTTGATGGACTGAGTAAGAATGGGTTCGTAGGATCTGAGGTGATCGCAACGATTGGTCGCGCATTGACTATGGTGCACACTTCGCACATAAATGTAGTAAGCACTTCATGTGTCAAATTTTTGTCACTCACTTCAGACAACATGGAATCTAGAATGTTTCTGGTAGTCTTGATCATGCGCTCCCAGACCCCTCCCATATGGGATGAATGAGGTGGGTTGAAGCGCCAAACTGTTCCTTTGTCGAACAAAAACTTCTTCATTTCAGCATCCTCAACATTGATTGCCTCAATCTGAAGATCTTTGGTGCAGCCGACAAAATTTGTTCCGCGGTCGGATCTTAACTCCTTCACTTGACCTCTGATAGCTATGAATCTTCTCAGTGCATTTATGAATGAGGAAGAAGATAATTCCTCTATTACTTCTATATGAATGGCCCGTATGCTTAGGCACGTAAATATCACACCCCATCTCTTACTGCTAGCCTGTCCCCCTCTGGTCCGTCTTGTCACCACTGACCAAGGTCCAAACACATCAACTCCTGTGTAGCTAAAAGGAGGAGCAGGACTGACACGGTCTACTGGAAGATCAGCCATCTTCTGGGTTTCTAGCCTCCCACGGAGTCTTCTGCACTTTACACATGCATGAATCACTGAAGAGATCAAGCGCTTGACACCTACAATCCAGAAGCCAGCGGATCGTATCATGCTTTCCGTGAAGAAACGGCCCTGATGTTTTACTTGTTCATGGTAGTGTCGTACTAGCAAGGTACTAATGTGGTGCTTGCGTGGAAGAATCACTGGAAACTTCTCGTGTTTACCCAAGTCGGAATCTCTGAGACGTCCACCAACACAAATCAGACCATGCTGATTGAGGAACGGATCCAAGGTAAGTAACGAGCTGTTACGAGGTAGAGTCTTTTTGTCAAGTAAACATGAGTACTCCTCAGGAAAGGTTTCTCTTTGAACTGTCCCAATAATCCATTGTTCAACTAACCGAAATGTCTCAACAGCCTTGTAATCAGTACATACGTGGGAACTATTGCCAACATTCCTCTGTTTGAAGGCACACACTCTGTTCCGTAAAAAGGCAAATGCTCTTACAAGAGCAGTCCATGTTGAGAACTTGTTGAATCTATGGGTTCCAAATACGCACCGGTCCTCGATAGAAGACTTCATTACATGAACAGCCAAAGTTGGTTTGATTTCCTTATCATTCTCTGGGTCAACAAGAGAAAATGTACTGTTGTCCAAATTGACCTCATTCTGATCTTTCTTGTAGAGTTGAACAGGTCCTTGCAACCAGGGGCTGTTTTGCATCTGACTTGCAGGAAGCGAGCGGGTAGCACAATCCGCAGGGTTCATGTGAGTGGGTACATATGTCCATTGTTCAGGTGTTGTAGTCCTAAGTATACGTTCAATACGATTGCTCACATACATGTAGAATCGTCGGACACGGTTATTTATGTAGCCTAATACCACTTTACTGTCAATGTGAAACTGAACACAATCAACTGCAATATCCAGTGCATTCACTGCAATGTCATAGATTTCTACAGCCAGGAGAGCTCCACATAGTTCAAGGCGTGGAATCGAGTTTCCATGTTTAGGTGCTACCTTTGCCTTGCCTAGGATGATTCCAACATGTATCTCACCTTCCTGGGAAATGGTCTTCAGATATGCCACCGCTGCAATTGCATCCTCGGATGCATCAGAGTAGACGTGAATTTCTCGTCTTACAGCTTTGCTGAGAGAGGCGTCAGGTTTCATGTACGTGCGGCGAATGTTAATATCTTGGAGGCACTGAAGTTCCGTTTTCCACGACTCCCATTCAGAACGGTACTGTTCCGGTAGAGGACTATCCCAGTCGGAACTATCTGTTACAATTTTCCTTAATATCATCTTTCCCCGAATAGTCACAGGAGCGACAAGGCCCAAGGGGTCATATAGACTGTTGATAACAGACAGAATGCCTCGACGTGTGTAAGGTTTCTCAGCGCCAGTCACTCTAAATGTGAATGTATCTGACATCAAATCCCAGTTTAATCCTAGGCTGCGCTGCACAGGAAGTTGTTCACTGCCAATGTCCAGATCCTTAAGGTCCTTTGCAAGGTCATCGTTCGCGAATGCACTCATGACCTCTTCTTTGTTCGAAGCGATCTTATGTAAGCGTAGGTTTCCTTCATTCTGAAGGGCAGACATAGTACGCGTCATTAAGTCAATTGCTTCAGTTGATGTGGGTAGGGGTATCAATCCATCGTCCACATAAAAGTTTCTCTGAATAAAGTCTCTCACATCACTTCCATATTTCTCGCGACTGATTTCAGCTGTCTTGTGGAGTCCGTAGTTAGCAATAGCCGGGGAAGGTCGATTCCCAAATACATGTACTTTCATGCGGTACTCTATAAGACTGTTACTTGGATTGTTGTCTTCATACCAGAAAAACCTCAGGTAGTTCCTATGGGGTTCTTCAACTAGGAAGCTGTGGAACATTTGTTGTATGTCTCCGGAGATGGCAACAGGCTCCATACGAAATCTCAGAAGGACATCAAGCAGATTGTTTGTAAGGTCAGGTCCAGATAGGAGGACGCTATTCAGGGAGACTCCTTGAAACTGTGCAGACGAGTCGAAAACGGCACGGATCTGACCTGGTTTCTGGGGGTGGTACACCCCAAATATTGGTAGGTACCAACACTCTTCATTACTTGTTAATGGCGGCGCTACTTCTGCATGCTTGCTTTCAAATACGCGTTGCATAAATGTCACCATGTGCTGGAGTTTCACAGGATCCTTGGACAGACTAGCATGGAGGTTCTTAGCACGGTTAAGTGTCTGTAGTCTGTTATTAGGCAGTGGAGGATGGTTTTCACGAAACGGTAGAGGTGCTACCCAATTTCCCTCTGTATCCTTGTGTAAACTTTTCTCCATCACTCGAATGAACTGCTTGTCTTCAATGGATAGGCCGACCTTGTTGTCGTCTTTATTCCTGGAAAATACTGACGAACCTATGCTGTCCCACTTCTCAGAAACATGAATCCTGTTTTCACATGGTCTAAACACTGTAGGGCGTCCATTATCAAGAACAAATGTTTTATTCACTGATATTCGATTTCTGTGAACTTTTCCTAAGCAGGTTTCACCCACAATGATCCATCCCAATCTTAGCCTTTGGGCAAATGGCTCGTTTCCTGATCCAACCCTCTGGTCAAGAACATGATGAGCGCCAGGCAAGTCGCGTCCAATCAGCAAGAGAGTGCGTGCTTCTGAGAGCGGAGGAATAAATTCCTGAATGTCCATCAAATGAGTGTAATGACGTGCAATTTCCGGTGTCGGTATTTCCTCTCTCACATCAGGAATGTTATTGCATTCAATCAGTGGCGGCAAGTTCATTTTGACGCTTCCGTCTAGAGATTCAATGACACAGTCTTCGGCCACACGTCCCGAAAACACAAAGGAACCAGCACACGACGCAAGTGAATATTCCACCTCTTCTGAGTTCACATCCAGAAGATCAAGAAGGTGAGTAGTAGCTAGAGATCTGTTACTCTGATCGTCGAGGAGGGCGTAAGTCAACACAGACTTGTCAGGGTGACTGGAAGAGTACACCCTTACCAACAGTACCTTTGCACAAGACTTTCCCGGAAATGAAGAATTCTCACATATTTCAGTACACTTAGTTCGTACTACTCGTTGAGTTCCGCGAGAATTGTTTTCCTCCCCGCCGTGCTGTGGAGAAGCCAGGAGTGATGATTCATTCTCCTCTTGCTGTTTTTCTCGAATGGATTTGCTTGTCACATGTAAAGCTGATGGATGATCCTCGCTGCCACAGTCATCACATTTTGTTCTCTCTAGACAGTCTCGTTTCACATGCTTATCTGAGTTACAACATCCATAACATATCTTGTGGTCACTGAGAAATTTTCTGCGAACTTGAATTGGCTTTGCTCGGAAGGTTTTGCATTGGTTAAGGGAGTGAGACGTCTTGTGAATTGGACATATGCTTTCAGAACTCACATCCGTTTTCTTAACTCTTATAGGTTGTCTGAGCGGGGTAGCGCGAAACGTTTCTTCCCTCTTTGGTGTAGGCTGAAGAGTTTCCTGAAAGCTTGGATCGTTCATCATTTTGGTCATCTCCTTTACATAATCCACAAAGAACGTAAATGGTGGAAAGGAGACTTTCTGTGAAGACTTGTATTTTGAAGCTCTGTCCATCCACTTCATCTGCAAGTTGTATGGTAGCTTTGCTACAACTTGGTTGACTCCCGACGATGAATCAAAATACGCAAGTAAGGAAGAGTAGGTAGGGTTTTCCTTAATTGATGCAATCTCGGACAGCAGGTCGGACAGGGCATACAGTTTATCAGTGTCCTTATTTGTCACTTTGGGAAAGTTAGTAAGTTTATGCTTAAGGGCACACTCAATAAGTTCAGGCCCACCATATCTGTCATCTAGTCTTTCCCACACTTTCTGTACTGCCTTGGCTGGGTCACTTGCATATGCGATCCTTATGCTATGCGCATGCTTGGACGATTCTGGCCCGAGCCATTTCAATAAAAGATCCATTTCCTCTCTAGGGTTTACACCCAGATCTTGCGCTATATGGGTGAAGGAGGACTTCCATACAGGAAATGATTCCGGCTGGTCGTTGAATACTGTAAAACGAGATAGAAGTAAATCCTTCTTCATGAGGAAACGGGTAAGTTCATTTGCCATTATGTTGTCCTTAAAATCACTGGTGGCAGGAGTGCTGGTATGAGCCTTGGCAAAAAATGCCTTTGCCTGAGGATTCAATGGCGTCCCAGCTGGCACAGAGTCCCGTGAAACACAATCCAAATCTGCACAGGGATCAGGTACAATAGGTGCGAGTGTGGAAATCGGTACAAACTGTCGACTATCTCTGGGGGTATCTGAACACAGTGATGATATCTCGTTACAGTCTTGAACGTTACAATGTTGTTCTTCTTTCACGTGTACACTTGAATGTGATGAATGTTTTTCTACATACTGTTCTACAAGTTTCTTCTTATCACACACTGGAATGTCAAGAACACTGTTTCTTACATCCACATACTCTAAGGCCTCCACTTCTGCAGCGGCTGCGGCTGCTTCACTTTGTCGACTGAGTAGCTTTAAATCAGCCTCTAGTTCACTGTTTTGCTGCTCTGCTTTGGCTATATTTAACTTGCGGGTTTCCTCGATGATAGCTTGTTGTTTTTTAATTAAAGCCTCGGTCTCTGCGAATTTCAACTTTATACGGGCAGCTTCGGCCAGAGCACGCTTCCGGGCTAGTAATGAACTGGACTGGGAAATAGAAGAGGATCCCATGGAAGTTGCTTCTCGTTTCACAACAATGTCAGGGTCATAGGTGCAGTTCTGTAGATCTGACTCCATGATGCACAATCCAGGGGATTTTTTACTGTACTGACTCAATAATCAGCAAGATAAACCAGTCATCAAGGAATAGTACGTTTATTCGAACATGATGAGCAGGTAAAAAACTAAAATACAAAAAAAACAGCTACTTAGTACAACATGAATCACAGTCACAATTTACACATGTAAACATGGCACTTAATCATTCAATTTGCATCTATAAAAGTATAGATATGTAATAAACAATAATAAACGTAGCCCTAATATTGCAAGTATACACTTTCAACAGAAATTAACAAGTTATGTAAACAAATATTTGCCTAGAAACATTGTAGACTAGCATGGACCTATGACTAGGAAATTCGGATGCCAAGAATAAACTCAAAACATGACTAAGACAATAATCCTGACAATTACCATTCAACACATACTTTCGGAAACACATATAAGCATTTTATACAATAATAAATGAACAAAACAACACTTACTCCGTGCTGGATCAAATAAAAGTGCGATACACAAGAGGAACGAGCACATGTAAACAACGACTTCTAAACGTATGATGAAGTAAAATATAAACCATAACATATGACTTCCGTATTTCCGGAAAAGTTCTAACTTGGGGCAGCACAATGTATGAACAATACTCTTCAATAATTTTGTTGAAAACGCAACTAGGTTAAGGGCTACCCAAAGATAGAACAGTGTATGCAGAGCCTCGGGAATTCGATTATGACGTCACGGTGAAATTGTACAAATGAATCTCGGCGAATAAATAATAATTTTCTTTTTCATATACTCTTACATACTTTGATTTCTCATGATTATTGTTAATATTAATCAATGTGTAACTTATTTTGTCAGTATAACACTAATCGAATGTAAAATCAAAGCCAACTTGATCTCGCTGTACTAATAAATATGACGTCATAGGCTAGTTTGACACGCAGTTTCTCTGTACTTGAGACGCAGATAAAGCTATTAGTAGAACTGAAAATATGAAAATTAAATCTATATAAGCGTGATCTGACTACAATTAATTCATATTTTTGAATGCATTAATCAATAGTTCACAGTCTTATTTAATTGAAAACTATGAGGTCTCTTATAAACCCGCAGTCATGCACTTTTATATAGAAACGTACTACAATCACATGTACAACCCCTCCAAAATCTCAAAAGTTCAACGACATCCGCTTGATTATAAATTATAATATTTTATACACATGTAAATACTGTCCCTACTATTTTGAAAAGTGCTGGGAGCAAGTTGTGCGCTGTTGATTTTTTCCGTAGTTTTACATTTCTTCAATGCGTATAGTGTAAATGCACATACTTTATCAAAAGTCGGCTAAATTTTATATAATTACCGGGCAGTGAGAAGTTGCTCCCAGCACTTTTCGGGTTAAGAAATTTGTCTTAAATAAAACACAATCAATTTCATAGTGAAAAAATATCCGAATATCGTTGAACGTTGACGATCTTTGTATCCGTACATATTTTTTTCTAATTTTAAACATGTCACGTGACAAACAGCTGATGTACATGAAGTCGCGTTGGTCGAACTTGGTTGAGACCCCATACATTCATATGCATTAGTATAGTTCCCATTAAATTAAAACTAATGCTAATAAAAAATATTAACATTATATTGAGTTTTTCGGAATATTTTAAGGCTTATTTCCTATGGGCGGCCTTAACCTAGCTGCGAATTAAAATCTGCATTGGCATTGATAAAAAAAATCAGTGACTAAATACATTTAGGGGTAAAAAATATCTGGAGCTCTTTCATGAGATCGAAAAAATTGCAACAATTCCCGTAAACCATACGATTCTAGCAGCACTTTCCAAAATTAATAGACAAAGAATTATAAATAGAAACAAAAAATAAGTTTCAAAGTGGACGGCATAGTGTTTTGAACTTTTGCATTTTTTTTGTTACGAAAGACATAGGAAAGGCTGATTGGCTAGTAAACACCCTGTCTACCTATTTTTTTACGGCGAAATTGTTGAAGTATATAACCATACCTTATTTATTAGCTTTATTCCCACTTAAATCAAATATAATATTCATTTCAAATGCTTTTTTCCTCCGATTTCTTGTGTTTGTTTACATGAATTCTCGATACGTTTCACTTTCGCTCTGCTACTGCATGATGAACAGTTATGACGTCACGAGTTTGGTATTTTACCCCGTGAATACAGAGACCTAGAAACGACAAAATTCATTTATATTTTGCCCTTGCATATTTTCATTCATTTTTACGACCTAAAATTAATCTTTGATATCTCGAAACCTCACGTCAAATAGCTTTCTATGGCGTGATATCATACTGGCAAGTAGAATATCTGGTTGTAACCTTGTATCATTTGATATGTACTCTATTTATTACGTTCTAAAGAATTAAATACATTCGTGTACATAATATTTTTATTCCAGTATCATTTTGTGAAACAGACTACTTCTACGGGTTGGCAAGGGACCTTTTACAATGAGAATATAAATTCATACTCACCTAATATTTATCTAATTTTGCAGTTTCATCATGGATGAGGCTTTCAGTGCACGCTTTGCGATTTTATCGAATTAAAAAGTACGTTATTAAGCATTTCTGAAGTGTCACGAGCCTAACGATGAAGTTCCCTTAACATGTAAATCATGTGGCTTTGTAGCGTTGACCGAGAAAGAACATATGTCTCATGGTAAAGGGTATGACCCGCACAAGGTAACAGATGTTCCAGTGGAGGTTATTCGTGCAGCTGTACCTTTTACCTGGAAGAAGATCTACTTGTCCGATGGGAACAGGCAGCTTCACTGGCATACTGGGTGAATTACCAAGAAAGAGAAGGTGGCTGAGGAGAAAGTGGTCCCAATGTCCACACTTCTGGAGGAGACGGCGGAGTTAGTCCCCCCTACGCTAGTGATGAGCCCCCCTCCCCTTCTGGGGTGGACATTTTACCCAATTGTTGGGAGAGGAGCCAAAACTAGGTGCAGAGAAAGCGGATCTGATAGGGGCACCTAAGGACCTACAAGTAATGGCGAAGAAGCAAGGTGACGGGCAGATAGAGGCCATAGTTGAGCAAACTGTAGCGGTCAGAGAATTAACAAAGACCTTGACAGATTATTTTTATAGCAGCGGCCCGAAGAGAGGGCTTACACCTCAACCGGAAGATAGACCCGCTACACATATCCGAGAAAGATCCCCTAGGATGCCTGCGCTCCGAGGCCGAGGATGGTATCGGCCACGCCTGATTACCAGAGACAGTGACCCACCATTCCGAAGGAACCAGAAGGAAGAAAGACGCCGGGAAAGGACAATCCATGCCGAGACATTATTTAGAAGGTCCAAATCAAGATCCAACTCTCCAGTAAAGAAGAAGATCAAGCCCGCAGTAGTCAGGTGCGATAAGAAATAGGTTTTAATATGTTAATGGGTTTTATATTAGACTGGAATGGTGGGTAGAACATTGTATATTAGCATAATATTAATGCTTTCATGTTGATGGTATGTAAAGTTGATAACAACTAGGTATTTATGACCTTATAAATTTGTGAGTACGGATTTTATTTAATGAAAATTGTCTTCACATGTGTCTACACTATTTAGGATCATTTAAATTAAATAGATATTTGATCTGTTAGAGCACTGCCTATGTCTGGAAACTGGATGTTTGAATTATGTTTTAGATATTGTGGATTGAAATAATATGTTGATAATTACAATGTTATATTTTACTGTAATTGGGTGCGCTTGGAGCGGGTTGATTTTTTTATCAAATAGAGTCAATGACTGTAATATGTTTTCATGCTTTATAGTGATTTAGAACAGGTTGATGAAGTTTGTTTATTACATTTTTACCCGTGAAATACTGTAATTTGTTTATTGAATAAAAATTATATCCTGTCACAGTGTGACGAATATCAGAAGTGCAGGAAAAATGTCGATTTCCCTTCCCATAACAAAGATTGCCTTAAAGAAAATCTCCTTGAACTTATATAAGATAGATGCAAATAAATAATCCATTCCGATAACGAATAAAATTGTTAAAATTACCAAACATATGTTGCTAAACCCATGTTTACATTGTTTCCACCTCACATAGCTATGACGTCTCAACCTCTCAACTATGACGTCACAAGTCTATAACTGTATTACAAAAATACAGAGAAAGGAAAAAGCAAAGAATTTTTTTTAAAAATGTAATAAACAGAAAATTCAATGTTTTGTAGTTGAATGTCGATTTTATTTCACGAGTGGGACAGGATTTTTTTTTATATTTTCACTCGTGAAAATATCAAAAATCCTGTCCCACTCGTGAAATAAATTTCATATTCAACTACATGTACAAAACATTGAATATCCTCTAGATATTAAAGAAGTTTTATTTTGTTTTACCATGAATATGCTGTTCGCAAAGAAGTACTTAAGTTATGTAATTGTATTTCCAAATAGTTGGAATCAAGTGTAAATTGTAGTATCATTGTATGTTGGTAATGTAAACATGACAGAGATAATTCGAACTGAGTTAGAGTTTTATAGTAGATTAATAAAGTGAATTATTTGTAATAATTACTTACTATATATTGCAAGACCATGACTGCCTGTAAAAGTATGTGATTGCTGTTTAATTGCTGTTTATTACTTTCTTATGGTTATTAATACTTTTTCTCAACTAAAAATTTGATACTTCGTAATTAACCTCTACCAAATCTTCTCTGTTCCTAGGTTAGTAGGTATTAAATAAAATATGTGAATAGGTATGATGAGCCAGAGTGCTTTTACTAAAATTATAAATTTTATGGTCCCAGGGTCAGAGTTTCTGATGTTACTTAGGGCAGGGCTCTATTGATTATATATTAAAAATACATGGATTCTTTGAAAATCTTCTCTGCTCCTAGGAATTAAATAAACTAAGGACATAGTTATGATTAGCAAGAATGTCTCTTTTAAAATTATGTATTTTATGGCCCCAGGTTCAGGGGTTCTGGTGTTAGGGGGGGGGAGCTTAATTGATTTTATAATGAAAATTCATTAAATCTTTGAAATTTTTTTCTTTGTCTCTAAGTGAACTACCCATATACATTTAGTCATGATGAGCAAGGGCCCTAATTGCGGAATTATTGTTTGAAATATGCTCTTTTGTATTTTTGAAACATTTATTTATTTTATCATAATAAGGGTGTCTTTTTGAAATTTGTGAAATGTGTGGACCTGTCGCTCGCGTGGCGCAGTGGATAGAGCGTCTGCTCTAGAGTCTCGAAGTAAGGAGTCAATCCTTACGTTGTGGGTTCGAATCCCACTGCGGGACGTGGAGACCGGTCCTTCGGATGAGATCTTATAAACCGAGGCCCCGTGTCGCAGTAGGAGCTGGCACGAAAAAAGATCCCTCACTGCTCAAAGGCCCTGAGTGCCGAGCATAAGACAAAATTTGTAGCACTCCACCGGCAAGTGGTGGCGTCTTCATTTGAGTGAAAAATTCTCAAGAGGGACGTTAAACAATATACAATCAATCAATGTGTGGACTTAAGGTCAGGGGTTTATGTCACAGGATTATGGGAACTACTAGTTAGTTGGAATGCATTTTTGTTCCCCTACCCTGCATATGAGTATTCAGTAACCAAGCT